CTCCTGGAAATTCTCATGCTTCAGGAGAATTCGCTCAGTCGCTTACCCGACAGTCTGTCCCAATGCACCCAGCTACGCATGCTTGATATTCGACACAATAAATTGTGCGAAATTCCCCCCGTCGTGTATACACTGCACAATCTGACTCACTTGCTTATGCGATTCAATCGGATCCGGGTGCTGGATGAAGAGATCAGCAATTTGAAGGTGAGTGTTTGTTGTCGTGCTCCTCCTCATCCTCCTCATCGTCATCATCATCAGAGATCAGTAATTTGTCTGCGCTAGGATGGGCGGGACCTGTCCTTGCGCCTGTTCTCTCTCGCACACACACACACACCGGTCTGAATATGACGGTATGGTAATCTGTGTTGTTTTTCTCCTCGATGCAATTTGCCATGCGCGTAGATAAGTATTTCCCGGTCCGATCACTGCTCTATAAATTCACTATCTTTCGCTCACCGGAGCAAGTGGTCGACCTGCATAGACTACGTTGGTTGGGGCATGTGTTACGCATTTCACCAGATAGGTTGCCACGGCGAGCGATGTTCGCCGAAGCAGACACCGAGTGGACAAAAGCCAAGGGTGGTCAAGCTAAGACCTGGCATGAGGGTATGAAAACCCTGATCAGGGGACTGAGTCCCGTTAGGCTCCCTGGCTGGGGACCCCGGGATGATCGTAACCGATGGTTAGAGACACTGAGTGATATAACTGAGTGTCGTAAACAATGGTTTACGTGCATCTTCTCAATTGTTCTGTAACATTAGTCCACTGAAATTCTAAATTTTCCACTGGATCCTACTTTCAACCTTTCCTGTCTTTCTCTTAATCTTCATCCAAATGAGGCAGCCAAAAGACAGCAACCAAAACTGGTGCACAGCAGTGCATGACTAATGGTTGTATAGACCGAAACTGAAATTGCCCCGTCAGTCACTTAATCTGAATGCCTTCAGGGTGAGGACCCTATGCAGTTAGGTTAATAAGCGTGTCTGGTAGGTACAATGGAATCCTCGGGAATCGATATTTGCTGCAGGTTGGAGACTCGAATCCAGGATCCGACTACTATAAGCCACTTGAACGCGCCAGATTTATCCTCGAGATGCGTTCTTCGCTCATCAGACGACGACGAAGCCGGTGCACTAGGTCAGTGCGGGGTAGGTATTGTTCTCAGTAACCGGGTTGAGTCCCCTCTTATGGATTCCATCCCTGTCTGTAGTGTTTTATATGCAGTTTGTCTCCAGGATTCAATCAGCGTCCTGAAGGGAAGCAACACTTGAAGGTTTTTGTTCATTGTATCAGCGTATGCACCAACCAATTGCAGTTCTGATACACAAAAGGACTTCTTTTTACGATAAACTCATCGATCTCATTTGCATGAGTCAGGTCCAACCTAGTTGCACTTGCAGGTGACTTCAACGCGCAGGTTGAAAAACTGTTGGGTGTTGCAAACAGTGGCGCTGATTCATCTACTCATTATTCTTGTAACTTCAGTTAATATAAATTCGCTGTCTTTTCCTTGAATTTACCCTTAACATTCTAATCTTCATTCTACTTCTTTATCCAAATAGGCAATCAAAACCGACACCAGAAAGTGCATGGCTACGTGGTTGTAGGAATTGGACGGAACTGAACCATCACTGCTCTATAGTTACCAGAAAAGCAACTGTCACATTTTCACCATGCATCTCCTTTATAACGAGGCGAATTTGAATTACTTTTTTGGAGTGGGTACCCATCCGGATGTGAAGAGGTATCTCAGTCGTTCTTCATTCAATGATTGTTGCCAACGCAACTGTTTACTCGGTTCTAGTTCAAATCCTGATTCCAGTCAATCAGAAAGAGAAGGCGAGAGAGGGAACAAGTTGCCCGTTCCTATCCGTTTACAATGTTCACAACCAGTCACGTCGCCTTTTTATGTTTAGTCACCTCCATTGCCATCCTGTGGCTACCCATTCTGCCGACCAGTCAAAAAGGACGTGACACTCGGAGAGTAGTAGCAAGATAACTAGGGCGGATATTGATCAATTGGATGGGTGTGAATTCACGCGCGCTATACCGATTTGCCCCTATTTGCCTTAACATCTGTCAGATTGATCCGGTAACACCAAACTGTGTGAAGACCGGGGTTGATTATCAGTACTGAATGGATCGCCTTCGCTCTGCGGTTTCTTTTTACCAGTGTTAATCATCGTCGTACAGCCAAATACATCGAGAGGCGAGCTCTACTGATCGCTGCCAAACTCCCAATTCATACGAGGTTAGTGGTAATATTGAATATGGACATGGATTGGACCTAATTTGAGAGAGGGGGAAGAAGATAAGCCTCTATGGTCAACACGTACAATCGAACTCTTCATACATACCGTCTCAAGCATTCTGGGCCGGTGAGAAATGACAACAAGAACACCACTGCTGTCGGTTCACTGCCATATCCTTCAATGTGTCTAACCAACCGGTTGCAGAGTCTTTCTAACCCAAACGTAGAAGACGCGAGATACCTACTCTACCTGATAGCTCTGTACATTTCTTCATGCTTCGTTTTCACGTTATCTGTTGACTTCCATGTGATTCCCTTCAGCCCGGATTAGATTTCAGTGGATAAAGCGCGCTGTGGCGGACGGTAGCTGGGCATACGCAATACGTGTCCTGGCCAGCGAAGTCTACTAATCGGAATTCGATGGGCTAACATGCTTATACTTAATAGACTTCCGAACATATGACGGCTTACCTCCACATTACTAGCCCGTCCCTTCGGTTCCATGTGGGCTAAACTACGTAAACACCGATACTCGAAAACCTCTTGTCGATTTATATCTTCTACTTGACAATTCAAGATCGCACAACAGTTTAGCGTAATGGAATGAATGGTAGCACAATATACACGACGTATCAAGTTCATTGAAACGTCGCGTCCGCACCAGAAGTGTTTCAATCCTGTGTATGCTGCTGGATTCTTGGATGTGCGAGTGGCGTTCTCCTTTGTTACGCTTTCGTCGTTGTTCACGCAACTATCTAAGTGGGAGAAGTAGTCCACCACTGATAATTCGTGTTCGTTTGGTTTCGAATGGATAGTGGACGAAACCCGTTTTGCAGCGTTACCAGTGGCAATGCGGCAACATGTTCTGAAGACGTCTGTTCCTCGTGTAGAGAACATCATTGTCAGTATGTGGCCTTTTTCGCATTCAGAATTGTTGACACTATGAAGACGCACCAGTTTTTCCCGTCCACATTTTGAGGAGAACTTGACTTTTCATGCCTTTCGAAATAAATCGAATGTTTGGATCAGTTTGCGACAACAATATGGCACTGCGAACCGGTCCGTCACACTAGCCACAATTGATCGTTTTGTATGTATCACCGCTTTTTGTTCAGTGGAGCTTCATGGAATTGTCGTCTTAAGAAGAACGCTTAGGGTTCTCGACTAAAGCTGCTTTTTCACAGGAACCTAACCCCCTAGGCAGCGGTAAAGCGGATAGGAGGCCCATCAACTTTGACCAATTACTCATTTGCGAGGTTTTCCTGACTGAGATACGAAATCAAATTGTACCCATCAACCAGTGCGCGTGCGTGTTTTCCCGTTTTGTCGACCAGCTCACACTGAGGTGGCCAGAATAACCGACGCAATTGCCTCCAAAGGGAGACGCATTTCACGACATCCAGATCTTTTGTACAGGTTTAGACGGATTACCTCAGTTGAACCGATTATATGCTGGATTTTAATTCATATTCAGATTACAGTTACTCATGAGTAGTATTCTCATTTATCCTTACATAATACAGAACTGCTGCACGTTTTCAACAGCACTTGTTATGCTCTGAACGAGTCAGTCACTTTCACCCCAATCTGGTCTTTGGTCCTTCAGATTCCACGCTTCATAATTAGCTATTTGGTTTCCGGTCTCCTAATCGCTCTCCATTATGTCTTGAATATGTTGTCTAACATTCTGAGATTTTATGCCACCTTGGTTTATGTTCACACACTTGCAGGACAAAAAAAAACAACTAGGCGCTCCCTGATGATTTATGGTCGGTAGACGACAAACTGTTTCAAGTGTGTCGGTTTAGCGCAGTTTTGATGTCGTTTACCGGTGAGTGTTTTACCGCCTTAGACGACAGGCGAATCGGCATACTATTTATCCCGTTTGACAGGATTTATCAGTAATTAGGTTCATTTATTTGTAATGAGGCAAATCAAAGGAATTGAATATCATTTTCGTTCTTTCTTCCCACTGTGATGGGCACGAATGTGTATGAAGACGACTAAATGCGAGTGTCCCAACTGTCTCAGTTGCACGTCGATTTACTACACCATCATCATCATCGTACGGCGAGATCTTGGACTACCGCCGCGAGTTCTTTTCTCATCACATTGTGATTTTCCCTTCGGAAAATCTTCGTGTGAGCTGCCGTCACAGGCTTATTTGTGTTTTGCCTAACAACATTATCTCAATCATCAGATACTAGATCTTGGGTAAGAGCTACATGCCACTTATTCTGTCCCCAGGTCGCGAGCAGGGATGGTAATCATCAAATTGTTGACTATCCGTGAACAAAAAAACTCGCTGTGAATTGCCACAAACGAGCAATGGGAAGAAAGTTCACTGTTATAGCCCCATCCCGTCCGTCCGTTCTGTGCATTAAGTACACACTTTGCTCTCATCATCATTTGAAGACTGCTAGTCCACGATTCAGTCGCTTTTTTTAATGATCCAGTCATTTGTATGCCTCCTATCCACACCCGCGCCCCCCTCCCCGCGCCCATCCAAATACGGCACTTTTTAAAGGAACAAACACGGTGACTTCTTGCCTCCGACCAGAGTTTTGAGAATCTGACCTTTATGTCACGCACAGTTCGCCTCCAGTTGCAGTTTTGCTGATATTCTTCCATCCACTTCATGTCACTCCGTTACTATTTCCTTATTGTGTGTTTCACTTTGCTGCTACGGTTACTCAGACACAAGTCTAGTGCGTAAACCAGGCAAGCAATACTGAGGTTGGGTGCCGAGTTGTAAGTAGGATCTACTGCGGTGGTTAGGACATGCGTTTTTACCGGTCACCCAATACATACATACATACATGCATACAATGTTTGCCCAGATAGGTAACAGTAGGAAAAAGGTTCAGAACGGCCAAACCGGGAGAGACTGGGTCACATAGGTCCCGTTAGACTCGCTGGATGGGGACCCTGAAATCATGGTGGTTAGATACGCGAAGTGTCGCAAACAGTGGCGTTGGTGCATATACCCATTACTCTTGTCACTGCAGTCCATATGAAATCTGTGTTCTTCCTTCGGTTTCTCTCTCAACATTCCACTCTTCATCCTGTTTTTTATCGAAAGTGGCGGATAAAATACAGCAACCAAAACTGGCTCATAACACTACATGGTTGTTAAAACTGAAACTCAGATAACCCGCATTCGGCTGGGACTTCGATTCGAAAACTGGCATCTATGGTTGAGAAAGAGGCTACATACTTTTCGCCCCCGTGTGGAACTTTGGAATCGGGCAAATAGTTATTTAGTGACTTGATCAAATAGTTTTTATGCATTCTTTTGTGTGTGTGTTTGTGTTTGTCGCGCTTCCATCTCTCGCCTCATGCGTCCAATTCATTCTTCGCAATTTACCGTTTATACCAGAAACTTCAAGTGCTCAGTTTACGCGAGAACAAGATTCGCAGTCTACCAACCAATCCTGGGATTGATGAACTACGACAGCTGATCACGCTGGATCTCTCGCACAATCATCTGGAACAGCTCCCGGATCGTGAGTTCGTTTTCGTCTGTTCCTGTTGTCTGGTCGACGCAATTCTCACAGCTGGTGGCTCAGATAGTTTTAAATCACACTTGGTCACTCACTCATGGAACGACCAAAATGACCTTCGGTAGTCTGAACAGCTGATGAAGACAGAGCGAATGTTTCATAATAAGTAGTATATGGTTGACTAGACAAAATTTCTCTGGAAGCACACGATGAGTTTCGACCGATTCTTGCCGTTCGTCAGATATGCATACCCGGTAATCTTTTGTCTAGTCAATCATATACTACATATTATGAAATATTCCATAAAGACGCTCAAGTCACGTTTGTTGGTCGTATCTGACCCACCTACAGAACACTGAATCCTATTATGGTTTCTTCAATGGACTGACTCGGAAAGAGTTGTCTATCTAAAAATCACCCGGTGTTGCAAACAAGGTTATTGTGACGAAAACAGAGCGAATATGTGTCTTATCAGTCCGGTTGTAATTTGGCTTGAAAAACACTGGAAAATATGACAGACATCCGATGGGATTGGCATTTTGCTTTGATTCGGCTCATTCAGCCGGTTTAAAATGGGTATCTGTGAGGTGTATAGTTTGTGTAGAGCATTTCTGTGTAATGCGAACATACTCCGGGCTCTTGCAGCGCGGGGGAGTGAACAGAGATGCGCGACAGGATGTCCCTCGGCTCGTATTGTCGCAACTGGAGACGATACGATGCTTCCGTGGATTTGAAGTTAAACCTGCAAGGCAAAGCAAACAGATCCAGCAAGATACAAGTACTCACGATAAAATATTACTGGTCCGCGGTTGCCAATCATTATAACTGTGTACCAAACAAACTATGGTACCATATTGTTTAAACACTGGAAAAGGTCCATAATTTGCTAGTGGGTGTGTGTATTACTTAAGGGATGTTATTTTATTTTAATAGACTATTGTCCCTTAGATGACAAACAGTCTGACTGCATACTGTGTCCACTAGTGATGGTATCATCAAGTATCACACAACCATTTCGGACTAATCGCTGTCAATTTTCTATCCGAGTTCCTGTCTGCATCAACCCTGTTACTTCCTCTTGCCTACATCCTCTTCTTTCTCACGTCTTTCTTTCGCAGAGATTGGTTCGTGTCAGAAATTGAGCACATTAAATTTGCAACACAACGAACTCCGCTTCCTGCCCGATTCTATCGGAGAATTGTCTTTGCTCGAACGGATCGGTCTCCGGTGAGTAGGATTAAACGCTCCATGTGTATATATATATTTATATATTGTTCTGATGTTTGATTGAAAACAGTCCTAGAAATTAGTTTTCCATCACTATATTTCGGCAGCTTCGAATTTCAACTATGACTGGAAAACGGCATGTGCCAGAAGAAACAAAAACTCGTACTCTCCGGGAACTGTTCCATTTGAGGATTTTTCTGTTACTAGCACAAGGTCCGAATCCACCGAGCCACACTTA